ATCCCATTTGTCATATACCCTTATTTTTGGAGCCACTCTCACACTATGGGGCATTCAAGATGTTCTCCAACTTCTCTCCTACTAAAATTTATAGAGGTATGAATATCCTTGCAGATACATTTTTCAATTTCCATTTTCAAAGCATTGATACACAAAGTCAAATTATTTTCCAATTCTTCTGTGTCCTTAATAGCAACACACACCCCTTGCTTGCCTGTTCTACCTTATCCAAATATCTGCTATGGAATTTACTCTCCTGGGGGAGGGTGGTTACTTTACACTTAACTGGTGTGGCGCTGTAGAATGAGCACTGGATTGCAAGGTCAGTTTGAACTGAAAAGTTGGTGGTTCAAACTCACCAGCCACTCCTCAGAAACCCTATAAAGGGTCGTTATAAGTCAGAACCTACTCAACAGTACTAAATAACACAACACTACCAATTGGGGGCATGGGACTCTGTAGGAGAAGCACTGGACTCAGAATCATTTTCTAGAAAGATTGTAACATTTTACACTTTTCCCATCAGTAGTAGGACATATACATTTTCCCCCTAACCTCACCACACTGTACCATATCAAAATAATAATGATTTGATATTCAAGGAAAACATGATTATAATTTATAGCTGTTGGATTTTAAGTGAAATCTGAACTTTTTTATATATTGGCTGGCCATTTTTATGTCACCATGGATAAATTTTGTCTTCAGATATTTTGTCCAGTTATGCCTTTTTGTCCATTTTAGTTGCATGTTATTTTAGTATTCAAATATAAAGGTTCTTTATACAGAAAAGATGTTAACCTTTTACAGTTTTTTAATTGTTTTCATGGTTACTTTTTTGCCATTTCCTTTCGATTCTTATAAAAATCTGAGGTCACAGAAGTTAGATTTCTTTATGTTAATTCATTTGGGGTTTTTTTGTTTTGTTTTCATGATGACTTCTTAAGGCACCATGCTTTCAAAGGCCTGTCTCTTCCATCTTTAAATAGACATACGCATATCCATTTAGTATCTTTTGTTTGTTTGTCCTGACTAAATTTCAGGTTAACAAATATCTGGAATTATAAAACACCTTAACTGTGTGTGGTTTTAGAAGAAAGAAGTGGCTATCCTCTGGCCTAAGTCTACCCAGAACCTTCCTCTGGGTCATTTTTATGTCCTTGGCAGCATTCTGTAGCAGGCATTCCAAGAAGAGAAGTAAACCAGAAGTTTTAGAAGGGTTATAAGAAGTATTCCCTTCCTGCTGTTTTGGTCTGCTTTTTTCTCTTCTAGTTGACATCAAATGACATCAAATAGAATTAACTATCAATTTCTGAAGTGGAATTTAAAGATACTTATCACAATTCCTAGAGTCTTGATGTGGTGCTGTAGGATAGCCACAAGTTTGAAAACCCTAAACAGGGTCACTATGGGTTGGAACAGACTCGATAGCTCTTAAAAACAACAACATCACATAGTCTTTCAAATGTTCATATTCTTTGTTCTTGTTAAGTGCCATCAAGTTGATCCCTACCCATAGCAACCCTGTATAGGATTTCCGAG